CAGCCCGGAAGACCCACACCAGCCATCGTATGCCGGCCGTGAAAGCCTTCGACAATACACATTTCCATTTCCTTCACCTCTAGTAATTTTACATGAAGCCACCCACAGCATAGTTTTTAACTTGAACTATGTGGTTTAACTCCTAGAAACCTGCTGTGTTTTTTAAAGTGAAGATCACTGAATCCTGCTTAGGACTGTTCAGCTCCCATATATTCCACAACCATTTTTTTTGCCACCAAAGAAAAAAACCTTCCTTCTGCTCCCAGCTTCTACCCCCCAGCCCTTAATAATAATGTTCTATTTGGTGCCATGCTTAATTTACTCCTGGCCAAAATAATTCTCTCTTTCCCTCTGGGGATTGTATTCAGTTTGATGAGAGAGTATTTACTTTAGTCCTTTAAAGTCAATTTCAGAGTAATTCTCATGGGTCAAGTGTGGTCCTCTTGCCTTGATTCAGTTACAAGGTGGCCAACGTGGGTATGTATGAGAGAATGTCCTTCCTTTTGTTAGATTTATCATCCCCATCCACCAAATTATTTCCTTCACAGAGAAGGGATCACCTGGTGTCCTACTTTCCATTGCTATCCCATTCTTGCTGGGCACATAAAAGGATTAAAGCTGGAATGATCAAAGGCCACTCCCTTTGGGACTATCCATGCTAATTACCCACAGTCATCTTTCCAGAGGCTCTGAGAAGTGTGTTTTTGAGAAAGAGAAAGAGAGTTAACATAGATTCTTGTTATTACTGTATATACTTGCGGATAAGCCCATCTGCTGATAAGTGGAGTCCAACTTTTTAAGTGTATTTTGGAAACTAAAATTGTTGGCTTATCTGCAAGTATATACAGTAAGTCTTCTGCTATTTTATGTCTTGCTAGTCGCTTGTGTCTCTCTCACTCTCTCTGCTTGTAGTTTTTGTCCTAAGTTGCCAATTTCTTGTTTTTGATAGTTGCTAATGTCTAATAATAAATACCATGCTTTTTTGGCTGTTGTTCTTAACTGAATTGAGTGGCCTGTGTGCTTGCTCTGATCTGGATATAGGAATTGATTGGGAATGTGCACAAACTAAATTGGAAATTGTCCACTGCAATTTTCCAACATCTTTCATTGTACAGTCGCCTCTCTGGCTTTTCATATTGCAGTTCAGTGTCAAAGGAAGAAATCTGTGAGAGAAAGCGTCTCATTTGATTTTTGCAGAATGGTGACACTGCCTCCATTAAGAGTGCCCTGCCTAGAAAAATTGTTGGAAGAATTTTTCCTCCCTTTGGAGAAATTTGGAGAAATTGTCCACCTAATTTATTTACCTACAAATTGGGGGTGGGGGATTCTGATAGGTCATTTGAATAAAGTTCCACCTTGATTACCTTGACAAGCAATTGCTAAATGACTAGACATTTAACATTTCTAGACTAAAATTCTAGAAATTTTACATTTTTAGAGATTTTGATGCTATTGGGGAGGGGGTACTTTTTTTTTAATGGAAGGTAAATGGAAATTTTGGAAGAATGGAAATATATCTATTATTCCACTCATAGTTGTTCAGTCTGGGGCAGTTTATAAGTATTGTCAAATAACCAAATGAACATTAATTTTATATCATCTCTACTGCTCTAAGTTCACATTGCTGTTTTAAAAACATGTGCAAAATGTATAACTTGGTTTACTCAGAGGAGAGACAAGATGGTTTCTGAAGCAGCAGCCTTTTAGCTGTGCTCTGCAGAGCCTTTGTAAATACATTGGTTTTATTTGTTTCTGAACTCTTTGTTTGTTACTGTATAGTTAACTTATACAGTCATGTTTGGTGTATTTATTGAATGTAAAAGTATGATTCAGTCATACAATAATTACTTTGCATAATTGAATTTACTTTAAAGTGTTTTTAATTTTGTCACAGATGTAACAATAAGATGTGGGAGTATAAAAAAAAACTAGGATCCCTTAATTTGTCAGTTTGACAAGTAGGTAAGAACTTAAGTTAAAGAGATTAAAAACATCTACATGATATTAAAACAGGGCCACTGAGGCCAAGTCAAGAACAGATCCACTCACCTTTAGATTAAAAAAAAAAAATCAAAAGTCTAATCCACAAGCAAATTGGGTAATGAATTTTCTTCCTTCCTTGTGGAAAATGGCTGTGCTGGTTAGGACCAGCCATGGGTCTTGCGGTGACACGGAGCTTCATCTCTCAAAGTTAAGGGATTGTAGTACTCTCAAACTCTTGATAAAATTCTTCCTTACTTTTCCTGAAGCCCATGGTTGAAAGAAAGGGAGAGAGGAGAAGCAATCTCCCTGTGCTATGGTGGTGTGAGCAATGGGTATTTTGAGTTTTTGTTGAAGGTAAAGGCAGCTGTACTAAGGCATGATGTCACATATTCACATATGGGGACTGTAACTTGCTTCTTTCAGAGTTCTTCTTTGTTATCCTTCAATTCTGATTCCTTCAGACCAGTGATTTTCAAATTTGGCAACCTTAAGATGGGTGGACTTCAGCTCCCAGAATTCCCCAGCCAGAGCTGTGGAATCCTTTATTCTGGGAAAACGCAGCTGTGATGGGGCAGCTCTCTGGCCACTCTCAATATAATTTGCAGACCAAATAGATACTGTATGAAAGCCAGGTGTGGACATCAAAACACTGGAAAGTCATTCTTCTCCTGTTAGTCATGATGCAATGGCTTTGCAATAGCAACTTGGGGTAGCTTTCAGCTGGAACTCTTATGCTCTATCTGCAGTGGCTTCCATGATCCAAAGTTTTTGTTTGTTTGCATCCCAGAGGAAGGAAGAAATAAAATATTTCTCTTCCACTCCAGCTGTGTTTTATGTGAAAACTGAATCCTAAAGCACAACTTCCATTTTTGACCGTGGGTCAGTGTTAGATAGTCTCTTTGAGAAACATTTTGTGTGATGTCGCTTATCCCAAAAGCAAAATAGTTTTGTATGTATGTCTTGATAAAGACTTTTCTATATTTCTGTTTCTCATTTTTCTGTATAACTTTTTGAGATTCCAGAGGAATACATCTATTAGTATATTAAAAGCAAAAGCAAAAATACATCTGGCAACTTTAAAGACTACTGTGTATATTATGGCATATGATTTTTCTGGACCAGAGTCCATCTCAACATCAGTGGGCTGATGTAAAACATTCATCTACTTAGCTTTGGCATACTAACACTTGGAATGAGTGAGAAATAATTTTAATCTAGTTTGATTCTATTAAGATGAGTTAATGATGAATCTTGTTCAGGCAGTTCAAAGCTGAATTTCCTTTTGAAAATTTCCTTTCTGGAGAATGTCACAGCAGTTGGCAGTGCTTAGCCAACCTTGATTTACCTTGAAATGGCTAAGCAGGGTCAAACTTGGAAATCCTAAGGTGGTAAGCTAGAGTGAACCTTTTTAAAAATTCTGGAAGAAGGCAGACACTAATAACTTCTGTACTGTTGCCAAGAAAACAACATGAACCTGGCTATGTAGTTATTAGGGAAAATCTTGATGCAAGAATTTCTTTTCTCTTCCTCCTCCTCCTCCTCCTCCTCTTCTTCTATGGCAATTCTCATTATTTAGAGTAGGTGGTTCTCAGATTTTTTTTCCATTCTTTGTTTCATAATTTTGAAGTTTAATGTACAAACCTTTGCAAAATTAAGTGCGGTGATATTTATATAAAGCTTGTAAATCGACCAGCTTCAAACATATATATGCTTATCTTGATACATCATTGTCTCTTCCTTCAACCTAGACTGACTCCTCCCAAATCTATCTGATGTTCTTTTTAGCTGTTTCCTATGGCAGGAGAATAAGTCTCAAAAGAAGAGGGCTTTCTTCAAAACATCTTGGAGCCATGGAAATAACCATGTTTTTCCTAGTTTTTTTTTTTTTTTTTTTTTTTTTTTTTTTTTTTTTTTTTTTTTTTTTTTTTTTTTTTTTTTTTTTTTTTTTTTTTTTTTTTTTTTTTTTTTTTTTTTTTTTTTTTTTTTTTTTTTTTTTTTTTTTTTTTTTTTTTTTTTTTTTTTTTTTTTTTTTTTTTTTTTTTTTTTTTTTTTTTTTTTTTTTTTTTTTTTTTTAGAGAAGTATTGAAACTAAGAATTATACCAGCAGGCATGTAGTCATGATTAATTAAGCCTTCATGGGTCCAGCTTGGCACAAATTATTTATTAAAACTTCAAACTACTATTGCGGATTCACTAAAATGGGAAGGCTGGATAATGATGATAATGATACCCAGATGACTTGTATGCCTGAAATGGCCGTGTGCTGTCAGCACGCCTCTGGGAATGTTTTGCAACTTGCAAACATTTTATGATTAAAACTTATCAGCAGGACTAGTTGATTTATTAGCATTGATTTTTATGTACCTGGCACTTCACAAAGAACCAGTCTGACAAGTCACTCCCTCAATGGATTTACTGTGTAAAACTAAAACAAGAAAGAAACAACCGAGAAAGAGATGATTAGAAGAGTGGTAGATAAGAGGACGAATTTTCTATTATTTCTGGTCTAAGTACTATGGGATCAGGGTAGGTTAGACAGGATGACATATAAGTAAATGTAGGCCGATATCCTTGAAGCAGTTTTTGTACTAAAAAAAAAAAACTCAGGATTTTTCTTTTTCTTAGTGACAAGCTTGACCTGAACAGATTGATGCAGCTTTTCTAGAGTTACGGAATTTCCTTGTAAATTACGTTGAGGCTTTTTTCCTGCTGCTCCAAGCTCTGTAATCTGTTGCTCTGACTGATAGGAACAGCTTACAATTCTTGTACCTCATCTGATGTTCCTTACAAAGGAACTTTTTGGATGACCGAATGTGTCTCTGCATTATCCACAAGGTAACTCAGAGGTGTCCTGAGTCATGGATCACCATCACTGGGGCTGACTCATCTAAAAAGCAGCATGAGGAATAAGCTGGCTGTTGCTTCAGTCTGGACTTCCTGCGCTTTGCAAATATTACAGTTGCTTATGAAAGACAATGCTTTATTTGTGTATGTTTGTATCTGCCTTGCTTGAGTTACGCTTCGGTTTTATGGGGGAATTTAGAAAGGAATGCTGTCAGCACAGTTGGCAGTACAAAGGCTGGAGGAGCTCAGCAATAGTTAAGGACTAAAACATCTCGCTCTGCTACAAAAGTCCAGAATAAGGAAAAGCATAAACTTATGGAAGCCCCATTCGCCTAATAGAATGGGAGAGGTTGGGTCACTGGCTGCCTAGTTTGTCCATTGGCCAAGAGCCCGTCTGTCAAGGTATGAAGATTAGAACAGAAGAGGAGACTTCTGTTATGCTTTGATTCTGATTTGTTTTTAGCAAAGAGGGGGTGAGGATGGTTTTTCGGAGACTGCCTCTGCCATTAGTTATTGGCTTGTCATGATAAGGGATTCTTGTTGACTTGGGGCAGCTGTCAACCAAGGTGATGGCCCAAACCCATTAGGCAGTAAATGTAAAGCGTAAAAGGAAGCAACTCCAATATGCTAGGCCTTTCTGCGGGTTATATAGGGAGACAGTGTGCTCAGGAAAATCCTCAGCACCATCACTGGAGAGTACCAACACAAAATCCAAACTCAAAGCCAAATTAGGTTACCTTGAAGAGATGCCGTGATTCTCTGAAGCAAAATTGGATTTCTTCTGAAATAACTAAAATCAAATCTGGCAATTTCCAGAGAGAGCTTCTTGTGAACATTGCTGATTGTGTTGCTTCCATGGCTCCTGTTTCTCTCTTTCTGCAACGTTGCTGCTGATAGTGAAAACAGACATTTTTGCATTAAACTCCATTGTTCAAGAGTATTCCCTGGTTCTCTCTGTACCATGCCAGTTCAAGTGTACATTTGCTGTCTGATGCTGTTCCAAGCTAAGTAGCGTCTTTCTTAGCAGTCTAGTACAGTGTTCCTCAACCCTGGCAACTTTAAAATGCTGGCTGGGGAATTCTGGGAGTTGAAGTCCATGCATCTTAAAGTTGCCAAGATTGAGAAACACTGGTCTAATATACTCCATTACATAAAGTCAAATGATATGAGGGGAAAAAAAGTATGTTTATAAAGTTAACACTGGTATTCCAATTTTTTTTTACCAGGAATGTCACTGATTTTTATTATAGTAACATCTTGTCTTGCAGCATTTAATGCATTTTCATGGTAAAGATTTATCAGCTGATTCATTTTTCTACTTCAGGTTGTCCTGAGGAGAAAAATTGTACACCACAGCTGGGGTCATAATGATAATGCCTGCATCCACAGCAAACTGTAATGTGACCTAAGCACTTGCATCAGATGTTAAGACAGGAGTATATAATTGTGGCATTTGCATGATGAAATGTGTGTGGTGATGTCATCATCATGCAAATGCCACAATTATATACTCCTGTCTTAGCATCTGATGCAAGCACTTAGGTCACCACATTTGCTCCCTCTGCGGGTGCCCATGAGTAATGGTGTGCATGACTCTTTTAAATCCAACTTTTATTTATTTTATTTTAATTCATTCATTTATTTATACGGCCACCCAACTCACTCACGGTCACTCCAGACAGCGTACAGGAATAAAAACCCCATATACAAAACCCACTAGTTGCCTTCCAGAAGATATGAATTCATGAATCCTCCTGCCAAAGGAACTGAAGATTGTGTGGTCACCTAAAAAGATCTTGTGTTCATTGAGATAAAAATGACATTTGAGAGGTGCGGAAGGGGCAACCTACATGATTTTTTGGTGTTCTCTACATCTGCGTTGTAGTCATCATTTGCACAGGTGGACATTTCTGTGTATAGTTCCAAGGAATGATCTTTGCTTTTACCCTTGTAACAGGTGATGTTCCCACAGAGGAGGGAGTTGGAAAAGGTGATGGTATTTCTCTTGCTTGGCGCCCTGACTCCAATGTGACTTGTGGTTACGTAGTGAGATGGTGTTATGGTCCTGAACCATGTACAGCTGTCCACTGGGAGAAGTTTTCTTCAAATGTGACGAATGCTGTTGCCAAATCAGGTAAGGGCAACACCTCAGCTTTCTTTTTGTAATTAAGACTGTGTGGGCAAAGGAAGGCAGAAACATTTTACAATTGAAGTATTGTAAGAAGCCAGCCAGGCTGGCAACCCACAATGGGATACTCCTTAAGCCTAAGGAGCTACTTAAAGGACCCAGGGCAAGCATAGCTCTTTGTCTCTAGCACATGCTACTTTGGGCCGCTGACTTTCCCAGCCTGCTGATAGGTCACGGTAGCACATGTATTTCCAGCATGCAGGAATTAACTAGAAATGACTCATGTAACCATAATAAATAATAATATAAAGAGGAATGATTCCAAAGAAACTCCTAGATTTATTTCAAGGAAGATCACTATTACAGCTTATTTTTGCTCAACATCTTCCTTGGAAAGATTCCAAATGTTCTGTGAGTGGTAATGTTCTCAATGTCTCTGGTAAGGCGCATGAAAAAAGACATTACTCTGATTCAAAGGATTGCTTTCTATGCTGTTCTGTATGAAAATACACCTTTATTTTAAAGTTATAGCCCAGTAATGAAAATCGTATTTGTGATGTTTCTGTGCTGCAGCTGCCTTCCAGCCTGGAGTTCGATACATGTTTTCTGTCTTTGGCTGCAAAGAAAATGGATATCAGCTACTGGGATATATCAATGGCTATGTACAAGAACTGAGTAAGTGCATGTTATTATTTGTTGTTATAAGATCATTGGAAGAGAAAGTGTTCATTAATGGAACTAGAGATTTTTGAACAAAAGCCAGGATATGAAATAAGAGCCAGATGATATTAGCTTTGCTCTTCTCTTTAAGTATGTTTATGCAGCTGGTTGGCTCAGATCTTTTCTTTTCAAATGATAGGGTGCAATTAGAAGGCTTACAGCTCTCTCTTGAAAATAAAGGGAAAAAAGAAGATTGTGTATAAACAGGATTCAGCCATTTGGGAAAGCCCTGCTGTGATCAAAATGAAATCATTAAATCCAATCCTTAATGTTAAATGAAACTTAAATGTGGATCCGTAGGTGTAGCTTGGGATAAAGACAGCTCCAGAATGGGAAGGTGTCCTAAAACAGAACTCTTGAACGTTTTTTCCCATGCTCATTCCCATGAACATGCTGAAAATGATGCAAAGAACACTTGAGTGAAGAGTTCTAGACTCTCGCTTCTCTTGCAGAACTGAATTCTGCTAAATATAAACCACAGTCCTTCTGTTATGATGGGTGGAGCTCACTAGAATTCAGGAGGTTGACGTAATGAACAATGAAACGCCATTAAGAATTTTATTATTTCTTACTTCGGAAAATGAATATAGCAAAATGGGTGATTTTGTTTCAGGATGTAACCACTTCTGAAAGTTCCTGGCCTTGCATTCAAAAGCTACCTAGAATTGATTCTGTCTTATATTTGCAAAAGTAATGTTATGCAAGAAGTCTTTGACTTATGTCCACAATAGGGACCGGAAAATTCATCATTAAATGGTGCAGTTGTTAAGCAAGGCATCATGTGACAGCACCCGATTTTACAACATTTTTTTGCGGTGGTCGTTAAGGGAATCACCACAGTCATTAAGTAAATCATGCAGTTCCCCATTGATTTTGCTTGTCGGAAGCCAGCTGGGAAGGTCGCAAATGGTGATCATGTGACCCTAGGACACTGCAACAGTTGTAAATACATGCTGGTTGCCAAACACCTGAATTTTGATCACGTGACTGCAGGGATGTTATGATGATAAGTGTGAGGACTGGTCATAAGTCACTTTTTTCAGAGGTGTCATAACTTCAAACGGTCACTAAACATATGGTTGTAAGTCAAGGACTACCTGTACTTCACTGTAGCCGCTTCAGGGATATAGGAGGACATTCTGAGTAGGATGTGATCTTTCCTGTCCAAATTCAACAAGCATTTGCTTGTTTTCTACCCAGGTCCCAAAACTGCACCCACTTTCAGTGTGGAGCATGCCACCTCAGATTCCATCTTAGTAAAATGGAAGAATATATCTGTTGAAGACAGCCAAGGCTTTTTAAGAGGCTATTTGCTTCATTTTGGCAAAGGAGAGAAAGATGGCCCAAAGCCAGAATCTTTTGAACCAGGTAAAGAAATATTTGTTGAATTATTTTCATCTTTTTCCAAGTGTGCCCTTTCATTTTAGGACTACAGCCAACATTACAACTGACCACAGGGATGCTGTTGAAATGGTGAATTGAAGGATATATATAAACACTCCTGCTTCACAGTAATATTTACATGTGACTTACTGTGAGGAGCAGCACAGTAATCTTCATGGCCCTACCAGTTCCCATGCAGAATTTGTTCAGAAATGCTTATTATGATAGTCATACCGATAACAATCTTATTATGACTGTAAATATGAAAGGAAGCGCACATACAAGAATTTGGAGGATGCAAATGGTAGTTATAAACATTTCAAGAAGATGTTTATACACATCACTAGTTAAGAAGCTATTGTGGGTACTATGCCTCTGTCATATTTAAGCTGTGTTAAATCATGGTTTATTCAGCTTAACTGTCATGCATTTGTATGAAAAAACTCTCAAGGTGGTTGGGATAAAACTTTGCACAGCTAAAGAAACCTAACTAGTGTATTTTGAGATGTCTCCTGCCCTCTGCTGTCTGCCTGGGAATTGACAGGCATTACCTGTCTCTTCATACTGCTTGCATAGCTTGGCTACAGGCTGCAAGGAGGAAAAAGATTAAAGGGCCTATAGGATAAAGACTCATCAGTACTTAGCACTTTTGGATTCAAGAATGGCCTTAGAAAGCTATTTCTGTGCAGATAGGTAGACCCCAGACCATTTGCTTAGGACTACTATATGAAACCCCAGCTTTGAAGAATGTAGTCAGTCCAAGACAACAATTATTTAAAGTTGATATATTCATTTGCCTAACTTTGGATCAAACTCAGAACTGCAATACTATAGGAGCTCAACATGTATGAAGAAGTATCTCCAAAGGAATTGTGCATACAAAAGTCTTGCTGCGGTAATCATGTATTGAGTAATTCTAATAAG